CTTTGACATGCTCATACCACCACACCATTGCTATTTATGGTACAGTCACATCTGCCATAGCAATGGAGGTTTTGAAAATGTTTTACCTGACTTTTAACAGATGGATGTTAATAGGATATTTATTTACAGAATAAAATTAAATTGAAACTGAATCTTAATGCACAATTTACATAATCAGCTTTGTTCTGAGCTGGTGAGCTGGTTTTCCAGCACTTGGGACCCTTCAGCCACAGCTGCATCAAAGAAACAGCCACTGAGAATGGAGATTAAACAATTTCCTAAAGCTTCAAGTCTTGATGAGAATCTATTTTTCCATATTAGAATACCATAATTTCTCCAGACACTGCCATAAGATCAAAGATGTATGTTAGAGCTTTGGCATAGCCCACGATCAAAAGGAAGATGTTCAATTTGTATTTAGAAAACATTTCTGCCAATTATATTTTTCTGATTATTTGAATTTTTTGTGATTTTACCTTTTGCACCGAAAGCATTTAAAAAAAATCTATGAAATCAGAGGCATAGAAAGGTTGAAAAACCAAAAGGTTTGCAACAAATTTGCAACAAATTAGGTGAGATTTGCTCATATTATTTGTGCAATCTACTGACAACTCTCAGCCCTGCTGACACTCAGCTCAGCTGGGGTTTTGGCACAGGCTTCAAGTGGCACAGGGCAGAAGCCTCAGATGCAACACTAAAAACTTGCTTGGTGCCTAACCCCTATCTCTGAGGCTGCACGAATGGCTGTAGGGCTGCATCAGGTTGTTCTGACCTAAGTGTAGGACCCAGAATTTTTCCTTGTTGAACCTCACACAATTGGCTTCAGCCCATTGATGCGGCCTGTTCAGATCCTTCTGCAGAGCTTTCCTGCCTTCCAGCAGATCAACACTCTCACTCAACTCAGTGTCATCCACAAACTGACTGAGGGTACACTCTGTCCTCTTATCCAGATCATCATTGAGGATACTAAACAGGACCAGCCCCAATACTGAGCTCTGGTGACATCACCGGTGACTGGCCACCAACTGGATGTACCCCATTCACCACAACTCTCTGGGCCTGGCCATCCAACCAGTTTATAGCCCAGAACCCCAGAACCCATCCAAGCTGTGAACAGCCAGTTTCTCTAGGACAGTGTTGTGCAAAACTGTGCCAAAGGCTTTACTAAAGTCAACGTAGACAACAGCCTTTCCCTCAGCAATAAAGCAAGTCACCTTGTCACAGCAGGAGATCAGGCTGGTCAAGCAGGACGTGCTTTTCACAAACCTGTCCTGGCTGGGCCTGATTCCCTGTTTGTTCTTCATGATTCACATGATGACACTCAAGAGGATCTGCTCCATAACCTTTTCCTCTACCAAGGTGAGTTTGACAGGCCTGTAGCTCCCCAAACCCTCCTTCCACTTGACTGGCGGTTAAAGAGTTGACTCACATTTAGCCAGGACTGCTGGTAAATAAATGGTGGGGAGTGCCTTGTGAGCCCTTCCACCAGCTCCCTCAATACCCTTGGGTGGAGCCCAATCAGCCTCATACACCTGTGTGTGTCTGAGTGATGAGGAAGGTCACCGACCATCCACCCTCGGGCCTTGGGGGCTTCATTCTGCTCCCTGCTCCTGTCTTCCACCTCAGAGGGCTGGGTGCCCTGAGAACAACTGGTCTTACTGCTAAAGCCTGAGGCAAAGAAGGCATTAAGTTCCTGAAGTCTTTTCTTCATTCTTTGTCACTTTGTTTCCTCCCACATCAACTTAAGGGTCAAGGAATTCCTTAGCCTTCCTTTTCTTACTGATGAATTTATAGGAGTATAAACCAGATTAAGTTTTATTTGGGATTTCACACTTTTAATTTTCTCCTTGTATAACCTCACAATTTCCTAGAGCTCCTCCTAAGTTGCCTTCCCCTTATTGTCATAAACTCACATATTTTTTCCCCTTAGCTCCATCCAAAGCTCTCTGTCAGCCATTCATCAAGTGATGTGACCATGTCTCAGGCCCTGACTCTCCCCAACTAACCTTGGCCACTCCAGGCTCTCTGCAGTCAGCAGAGAAAGACCTGTACTCTCTGGCAATCCTGCCTCCACCAGCTGCAGAAGTGACCTCAGGTGGCCATGGGTCTCAATTGCTGCTTTCATTTCAGTGTCTCCACTTAGCTGAGATGAATACCACTTTGGAAAATGGGTAAGGTTTTAAAGCTTTCTTCTTTAAAACCAGCCAACAGCCACTGTAAGAATTTCTTTAGGAAACTTATCTGAGGAGTTACTCCCCCTCTTCTTTGCACCTCACTGCTGGAATATTTTGAATAATCTGTGCTCAAATTGGATGTAAAAAAGGAAGATTACTAGTCCAGATTCAGCATAAATGTTGAAAGACTTCCACTTTATCCTGCATTTAAATGTACACTTATGTCTAATTCTGAGCTAAACTGGAATAGGGTGGGAACTGGCAGGGAAGAATAAACTGGGCTGCTGAGAACACCAATGAATAGTCTGCACCACTATGGAGAGGATGGCTTCTGGCCAGCACAATAGCTTTTGTAGTACACCCTCAACTTCATGAAATCACAAGCAAAGCTCTGGGAAAACAGTCTTCAGCAGTTAACAGGAGTGAGCCAGGGCTCAAGGAAGCTCATAGCACTTTGAAAAAATTCCGAAATTACAGTTTAGGGATGAGAGGATGTGGTGGGGCTGCTGAGATGAGCACAGAAGGCCAGGGTGGGTGTTCTATGAAGACAGTATAAACCCAGATGTATTAGATTGTCTAGTAAAAAAATGAGAACAGGAAAGTCAGCATTTGCACAGCTAGAGGCAATAATCCAATTCACAGGGAAGTAAGAAGCTGATGATGACCTTGCCAAAAATCCAGCTTTCCAAAAATAGTCCCGATAAATGAGTAGTAAAAAATAAGGACCTAATCAGCAACAATAAGGAGAGAGACAGAAAGTTTGTCTCTCTGCAAAAGGTAAATTATGCACTATAAGAATGACATCCATCCATTTCAAGCCAGAATAGCTACCAATTTCCAGGGACTTGTAAACCAGTGAGCAGACAAGAAAAATGTATTAAACTTATTTAATTTTTTCCTAAGCCTGCCTAAGTTTTATTATAATTGATAAGCTTTTTCCTATAAATGCTTGCTGTTGCACTTTTCTTCCATTTGTACATGAAGTAGTGTGGAAAAGCTGTCAGTCTAACCATTCTCAGCAGCACACACACTAGAGATGGAGACCTATAGGATGGCCCCCACTGGTAAATGGCACTGGCTGGGGGCATGGAACAATGCAGAAAATGTGCGGTGTTTAGGAATCTCCCCATGCAGTCCTGTGGCACTCTGCAGGCCACTCAGTCTGATCTCACCATCTGTGCCCTTAGCATTAACAGATCAAGCAATTCTCCTGATCATCTGCCTTTCCAACACCACCCAGAAATGATCCTCCACTATTGTCACCAACTTGCTCTGGTTTGTAAATAAGCAGAGTCTGGAGATTTGGTACCTCCTGGGATTATGAGAGTCCTAGGGTGGCTTTATGGTGCTGGTATCCCCAATTGTTTGTTCTGTTTATGCTGGATATTGAGTTCTGTACCTTTAAGACTGGTTCTGAGAGCAAAGAGGGGAGAGAAGAAGCGCAGAGTTTGTATCAGGGACTGCACTTGCTCCCCCACATCCTGCTCCTCGACTGTGCTGTCTGTAGCACGGACAGACGGTCAGAGAGAGCTCTCCTTTGCTGTTTTGCTGGGTTTATTTTAGCTAGCTGAGGCAGAGAAGTTCCCAGACTGTGCCTTTTTTTTTCTTTTTCTTGGAACTGTTTAAACCTGCTCTGGACCAAAAACCCAGAAAAACACTGGGAGCCCACACCTGTGGCCACCCGGGGCCTGGGGCACAGCACTTTCCAGCACTGGAGGGGCTGATGGGAGACTGAGCGAGCAGAACTACACCCCGTGACAAGGACTCTCCGAATTTGCCATCTCTTCAGAGCAGTGAGAGGTTCCATTGTTTAATACTGCTCATTTTTTCCATGTTCGTGAGTGCTTTGCTTGTTAAATAAACAGTTTTTTTCCACTTTTCTCAAGGGAGATTTATGCCTCCTGAACTGGTGGAGGGCAGGGCTGCTTGAATTTGCTTTCTAGAGGGACCCCTTTAGAGGTTTCCCTCCACATTTGCCCTAAACCAGGACATAAAGTTTGAACAGCAGAGTCCTCTGCAAGGTTACATGCTGGGCAGTCTTTTATGGACATTGTCATTTCACTTAACAGACTTGAGAAAACTTGAAGGAATGATAAATTCAAGTTCTTTGTGAGAGATGCCAAAAACTATTTACCAGGTGTAGACTTTTTCATAACTAGGAAGATGAAAGATCCAAAGAAGTGATCAAAATGCAAAGGACTCACAAAACCTAATTCCTTCCAGAAACATCATTAGCATTCAGGAGAAGTAGTGTGCTTCCCTCAGGATCCTACACGCATGCATGATATTTAAGCTCTGCCCAAACGCAATTTTATTCACAAAGTAATAATTTCTCCACACAATAGAGAGATCTGAATCAGCTGCTTAATGAAGGCATCTCACAGAAAGCAAAACCAAGGACTGGGACACACTCCCAAGCCTGTGCCACTTCACTACTTGATGAAGCATCTCCTCTGCCTGGAACTGCCAAGTTTCTCACTCAGAGAGCTCCAAACCAAATGCCTAAGTTGGAGTTAATTGTCCTCAAAGTAATTATAGAGGCAATAGAGAGAAACAAGGGACTCCAGCTGGTGTCACAGCCTATTTTTAGGCTAATACGAGCGAGATTAATAGGATTGAGATTAATCACAGCCTGAACATGCCCATTCCTTCCTACAAGATAGAAAGCCCAGGGAAACTAGCTGAGATCTGGATGTCCTGTCCTGGATGGACACCTCACATCAGATGAGATGACTCCTCCCAAACACCTAGTGTAAAGGTGCACTCCCAAGTGTCTTTCTTGCCCATCTATAGGGACATAGCAGGAGTCAGCATTCAGATTCTGACTACTGGCAAAAAAGCAGTTTATTTCTTGTAATGGAACACAAACAAGTTTGTTAAGTATGAACACACGGTCAGAGTTTTTTCTTCTGCTACCCTCCTCTGAGCCTCTGCATTAGGGTCTTCCTAGTCCTGTTTCTCCCTCTTACCAAACATTATGTTCGAACCCGGTGAGGGAGATGGCACAGAGAAAAGCAGCGTGTCTGAAGGCACAGAACATGAACATGTTTCCCAGCACAGTGCTGAAGTATTAATCTGTTAATAACTGTGACCCAGTCATTAAGCAGGAGCAACTTGCTGTCTGTACATCCACCTCTTAATGAGCATTGTTCCTCTTCTTCTCACCTGATTTTTACAGATGCAGCCCTACCCACACCAGCAAGAGACAGCCATTTAGCTTCATGTACAAGATTTGCCTCAGCATCCCAAAGCCTGAACAGCAGAAGAAAATACCTGTTGTTTTAAGCCTCTGAAATAAAGTCATCACTTGCACTTGGCATGGTGTTGTCTGAGTGAAATACAAGGTGAAAGATAGTTCATGCTTTACGTAATTCTGTGGCAAATCATTTAGAGACTTTTAAACTAGAGTGGCAGCCTGCTTTTGGGGTCCTGTTGCAACAGATAAACCTCACTGTAACCTCTCCTTTGCTTTACAGTAATGCTCCACAATTGCTCTGCAGAAGTCTCCCTGCATCTGTCTTGTCAGATTACTTAAAGGTTCCCATATTCTGCCTGAAAGATTGTGACAAAGTGCACTGCATCTGGACTGTCCGAGACAGAGGAAATGCATTTCCAGCCACTCTGGCCACACAATTGAGATTAGACCAGAACTTCAAACCTGAGCTGATCAAAAGGTTCTCCTCTTCTGTGTCAGCAGATCACTGGAGACTGGCTTGTCCATTGTAGTGTGAGTAGATGTCCTTCTAAATACTGGCTTAAGCCATGGAACAGCCATCAAAATGCTGCTTTTGGCAACCTACGTTCTTGCTCTGGGGCAGGTAAAAGCCTGCTTTATCTGACTATTCAAGAAATCAACCTCACTGCTCTGTGCAGAAGAAGTCCTGCTGCCTGCTCCATTCTCTCCTGTGGTCCCCACCATGATGTCTGGGAGGAGACATCCTCCTTTATTAATCAGTGCTTTTTTAGCAGAGACTATGAATATGTCCTTGGACTACAAGCTGGCGCACTGTAATCAGAGTTGAGATCCTCAGGCAATAACCTTCTGAAAATCTAGGCCTTATTATCAGAAAATTTGGAAAAAAAATGCTGAAAAACATGATTCCTGACACCAGGCAAATTCATGACAGTCACCTACACCATATAACCAGAAGGTAAAATATATCGAAGTAGTGCAAGAAAGTTTCAGAAAGACACAATGTTCCTCATATATCTTCAGGGTCTATTGGGATTTTATTAGGCTTCCTGAAAAAAAAAAAAAAAAAAAAAAAAAAAAAACCAAAAAAAAAAACTTTCTGGGGAATGAACTAGCAGGTTTTGACCCCAAGCTTCACATGTCTCCAAGCTGATGCTCAGTTGTCAGCTTCTGCCCTGCTTCTTCATACACTGGGGAAGTGATGGCAGGGATCTCCTTTTCCAGCATATCCATTTGAGCTGTAATGTCTGACACAGTGTTTTTCACAGCATTCAGCTGCAGCTTCAGTTTATTGTAATCTTCTTGGAAGGATCTCTTCACATCATAGAGATTGTGACAGCACTGTTTCTCCTTAGGAGGAGGGTTCATTTTCAGGAAGGTGTGGAGAAGCTCACACAAATCCTGGAGAACCTGGAGGATTTCATGCTCTCCTGGCATACGTGGGGCAGACTCGATCTTATTCTGAGTTGGAGTAGTGCTCTTCCTTTTACCTTCATGTTTCTGCTGGGGCACTGGGCCAGGGTTACACTTTTCCACAGCTGCAATGGCGTCAGTATTCTTCTGAAGATCTGAGTGGGCATCTTTGCTCTCTTCATGGACAGTGATGGCTTTTGGGCCTTTCCAGGTAACAGGGAGTGCTTTATTCTCCTGCTGGAAATCCTCAAAGATTTCATTCTTTCCCTGAACTGCCTGGAGAGCTTTGTTGCCCAAGCTGAGCTGAACACCCGTGCTCCTCTCTTGGAAGAGTGGAAATGGCTTATTTTTGCTCTTGAGGCTTTGCTGAATAGCATCAGTGTAAATTACCTGGGAAGATTTGTTCTGTGACTGGAGATATTGTAGGGCCTTGTTTTCTTCCCAGAGCATCCTGTTTTTGATCCAGAGGACTTGGTTTTCCTGCCAGAGTGCTCTGTTCTCCTCCCAGATGCTCCACTCATTCTGTGCCTTCTTGCTAAAGAGTTTCTGGTGGGAAGAAAAGGGTGGCTGGCAGTAGACGTCATTCGCCCATTTTCCATCAATAAACACGAACATCTCACCCCTTGGCTTCACCCGAGGGGTGATGCAGTCTGTCTCAGGCTCTGTGTGCTGCATGCTCTGGTTCCTCTGATCAAAGGCAGACATTGCCCTTCTTTAGCAAATTGAGGAGGACTGTGGGAAAAGGCTTCTTCCAGGGCTTCTATAAGAGGCCACTGACCACTGTCAAGGAGCAGGTGACACAGTGGGGCTGGAGAAGCTTGATTAGGACTGAAAGAACAGGGAACACAAATGTGCAGATTTACTGCCAAAATTCCAAATCAGAATTAAACTACACAAGTGACAGAACAAGCGAATAAATCAGTTCTCACAGTTAACCATGTTGCCCTTTTGATGCTGAAAGGTAAGGAATCCATCAGATACCTAGTTGATAGAAGCTGAGAAAAATGGCATTGGCAGTTAAAGCAGCACAAGGGCAGCACTAAAGTCTTTCTTATAAAAACATGCACTTCCCCTTTATCTCTCTACCTCATTTTTACAGACCTGTAAGGGAGCAAAATGCAAGACTATTTTCTGCCTCAGAATAGCCTGCTCTCAAATGACTGATGCACAAACACATTAAAAATTTTTATGAGGCTCAAAAAACCTTTTCAAAATAAATAATTTTTAAAGGTTCATAGAAAAAAATATGGCCTTGAGAGAAGTTTTTTCTTGCTAATGCTGAGTAGCCTGTGCTAACAGGATGCCACAAAAATGCAGTGACAGTTTTGCTTTTTGATCTTAAAATCCACAATATGCACAAACCAAAGCTTTGGGACATCAGAGATTTGTTGCTCTTCGCTTGGTTTTTTTACAAGCTCCCATCACCATGGTCCAAAAACTGTCACAACCCATAGATAATTCTCCACCATTCATTCTCATTTCTCCTGTCACTCTTACTCTTTATATCCTTTGATAGCTCTGTTATTTTTCTTGCTTTCTAGCCCTGCAATGGTGATTGCTTATCTTTTTCCTACAGTCCATCTGCCTCTTTTTCACATCATCAGAAAACTCATCTCTAAAATCCATATTGTAGGGCCAAACCTCTAATGCTTCTCATTTCAGACATAGAAACCTCAGACTTAACTGTTTATTACTCTCCCCTCCTTTCCTCTACCCAAAATATTGCAGCTTAAATTACCTTTTAACCATGGGTGAACTGGGGTAAATTAAGGATTTCAGTCTTTTATGTGGGAAAAAAAATAAACCAACAATCAACCGGACAATCAAAAATTATTGTTTTATGCTAAAGAAAAGCTTGTTTTCTGCAGCTAAATTTAAAAAATATTAAATTTATGTGATTTTCATGATGAAGTTATTTGATCTGAGGTTGAACTATTTTTTATAACCAAATTGCTGGAACTTTCAGGGTTTCTGCACAGAGTTTCTAATAGCACAAATGTGCCTTTTTCTAGGTGAAAAAAAATAAAATTACATGTCAAATTTCACTCAGGTGTATTCCTCTCCTCCTGCTGAGGTCTCCCAGCTTCCCTGCTGTCCCTTGGAAAGCCCAATTCTGCCTTTCTGTCTATGAGGAAAGTTTTACCTTCGTGAATCTTGCCCATATTTCTACCCCAAGCATTAAGCAGAGGGTGACCACCACACATGAGCCCCTTATAGCCTCCAGCTCTGTCATCACAGTGTGCACCTCCTGTCCTATTGTTGCCCTTTCCTGTTGCTCTCCCTTTTCCCTGTCATTTCATCAAACAGCACTGCATGCCCAGGCTCCTCCAAGTTACTTGTTAGAGCCAACATCCAGAGATGCATCCTGTACCCCCTTCCCAAGTTTGTCCAACCACTCATAAAATTACTGCTTCATTTAAAATCCAAAATTCCTTCATTTAGAAGAGGGCTATTGCAATATAGATCTGTTTGCATTTACGTTTGATTTTATTGCAACCTGTTTACTGTCTGAATTTCAGGGCTGTCTTCCATGTCACCTGCTGCTTTATCTCATGTCAGACTTGTGTTTTCATAACATCATTCTTCTGCTAAAAAGGTATTTCCCAAAAATTCTGTTTTGGACTTTTTTTTCCCACTTACACTATGTCCAGAGCCACGCATTGCTCCCTCCCTTACACCCTTCCCCTGCAGCCTTTCCAACACATCCCATTCCACTGAGGTGCCCAGTCCCATTTTTTCCCCCAAAAGCCCCAAAAAATTTGGGTCTGGTGAGGGGTGAAGGGGCAGAGGGCAAATCAGCCACAGAGGGAACAGACCTCTAATTATCCAGGGAAGATGCAGAACACATCCAGCATCAGAAGCCTGGACCCACATGCCTATCATGGACAAGCAGCTACAGTTCTTAAAGTCACTTACAGAGAAAGTGTTTAGATTGCACATTTTCAGGATAAACAGAAATGTATAATATATACGACTTTGAAGGACATTATCTGGGGGACAATTAAATTGACAGTGGCTCTGTCAGCTCTTTTGCACTGCCAGGGAGACATCGACCCAAGCTTTAGGGTGATGCTTCAAGATCTCAGTGCCTCCCATATAATTTTTTCCCCCATCTGAATAATCCCAGAAAATGCTGGGCAGCTGGGTGGATGAGCAAGGCAGCCAGCTGCGGGGCAGCCACACCACATCTGGCAGGCTGGGCGGTTTGGGAGCCCAGCATTAAGAGCCAGCACACGCTCACCTCTCAGCGCGGCCGGCGGCGTTCCCTCTGCCCGGAGCCGAGCGCAGCAGCCGGGTCTGAGCTCTCGCTGCTGCCGGGGTGTCCAGAGGCACCGGGTGCCCCGCCGGGGACAGGGCACCGAGGCTGATGTGAGCTCCGGCAGGGACCTTGCCCCAGGAGCAGCCACCTGCCCCCCACCCTCCAGGGCTTGGGAGCTCCTGCACGCCCTCCTTGCACAGCTCACTTCTCCACGCTGTTCTCACAAGGTTGGCTTTGACTTCTCCCAGCGTTGCTCTTCTGGGCTATTTCTCATGGAAGTGACCTTTCTGCTAGCTCGGCTCCCATGCCCTTTCCTGAACCCAGACTTCCCGATCTCCCTTTGATGCTCGTAACTGAGAACAGTTTGGACGGATTCTTTCTCCATCACGCCCTCTTAAAACAAATTTTGCTTTTATTCTGAAACTTCAAATTCTGTTTGTTGCTGAACTGATATAGATACATTCAAAAATCTCTTCCTTGCATGTGCTGTGGGATTTGAAGTTATTTCCCAAGGACAACATGAAGTTTTTCTTTGACTGTAAGTTTAAGAGCAGACTATAGCTGAATCCAAGTAAGAAGAAAATAGAATATAGAAGGCATACACACATGCAGGTTTAGATATTATTTGTAGCAGCCATTTCCACTTCCACATCTTTACATTTCTAATGAAGTCTTTCTTATTTGCTACATCTTCCAGAAATTGATTTTTTTTTTTTTTTTTTTTTTTTTTTTGTAATCAGGATTCTTGAATAATAAATACAGCATTTAATTTCTCTTTCAGTGAAAATTACTAAGTTGACATCACCCTCAAGGAGACTGCTACTGCTTTAGGAACTTGAAGGTATAGTTCAGCTTTGTTGTTATATGAAAATTATAAACTGAGGTATAAAATCCTTCTCTGTAATTGCTCCCTTGCTTATGTTTAATCTTAGACAACAAAACCACATCACAGGTTACTATGGCAACTCCCCAGGGAGTATCCTTCTTTATTTGAGCTCCAAGATCCCGCACAGGAAAACAGAAAATGTCCTCAGAAGAGAAAATATTTTATATGGACTATTTGCGCTTGGCCTGCCATTATAAGGGAATTTAAGAGTTCTACCCAGCAGACACTTTCCAGGACGAGATTGGCTGAAATATCCAATTTGAACTTCTGCAGAACTGTGGCTGTGGACTGTGAAAGTGACCTTTGATGAACATTTTAAGGTCCAAGAGCTGACTAGAAACAGAATTAATAGAAAGAAGTGCAGCTGCTTAATCCAGAACCATGGAGAACGAACTTGATATTGAGCGTACCTTTGCTTTTCTCATGCAGTATTTTCCTTAAAGTTTTGTAAAGTTCCTCTGCCAAGTTAATTTTTTACTGAAAATTATGAATTCAAATGCCAATACATTTGGATCAAATTTAGTGAATATCATGAGATGTGTTTATGCACACATCAGAATTGGAAATGCTGCAACAGCTCACAGCAGAATTTTTTATAGCAGCTATACACTGTTTTCTGAGTTAGGCTCTCAAAAGGACTGAGATGTCATTCACAAGATTACAAAGGCAGAAATAATGCTGAGTGTGTTACCCTCCCTGCCAAGAGAAAAGTAACCCCTGCTCTGTGAGAAGGGTTTGAGCTAACCTGCCAGCTGAGTGTTTAGTCCACAGCTTCAGACCACTGAATTTCTCAAAGATGTTTCACTACACAAAGAATTAAATATTATTTGGAACCAAAGCCTTTTTCTCCATCCTACCTGCACACCTTATACCAGGCTGCTCAGCTGACCTTTGCTGTCCTTCTTCTTGGAGACTGTCTGGTTCTAGAAAGGATTCCATGGGAAGGATGTGTGATCCCAAACACACTCATATAATATTCTCCATGCTCCATGCTGGGGTGCTAGACGTCACCATCCAGTGATGGGTTAAAAGCCAGGGGGAGAGCAAGGTATAAACTGCTGCCATGAATTTTGCAAGAAGGGCCCTGAAGACCCCATACCAGTCTCCTTTCTATTAGATAGAGGCATATACCAGCAGTAAATGTCAGCCCTTTCCATCCTTTGCTTTTGGGTTAGAAGATCTGGCAAAGTGTCTAAAGTGTAAATAATATTGGGGGGGGGGGGTGTTTAGTAAAAATCATGCTATATTCCCAAATCTTTATTTTCTAGAACCAAAAGCATCTGCTGCCACTTTCTACCATGCCAAACACATCTGTGCTTTTGAAATGCCAGCCTCTGTTCAATCCAGTGCAGGCTGGTCTCACCACACATTCATCCACTGTTCTCCAGGGCATTAAGCCTGGATGTGAATCCCACCTAGTCACTAAAAAGACTCTTACATATCTGAGTGCTCTTGAATCATCTCCTGACCTCAACAGCTGGGCAGGGAGTAAAAAATATGTTTTCTCAGTTTCTGAGGCAGTGAAATGTCTGGTAATATCTCAGCATTGTATTCTGCCCAGGAACAGACAGTCAGCAGTGTGAAAATCAATAATGAAAAACTCCAGATCAGGTTTTTTTTCAAACAAATAAATGGCTTGAGTGACACACGTATGTCATCCCCTGTTTGGACTAATTGTCCTTCCAGGGACACTATCAGAGTGCTGCTGCTAGTGCATCTCAGTGTAACCCTCACAACATCCAGTGTTGTGCAAATCACCAATCCTGCATTCTCCTGTCAGCACTGGGTCAGCTGAGAGCTGAAATGAAAGGTGGAAATATCTACTTTCATATCTTCCCTCTGATCCTAATTTTATTTTAGACATTGGGTGAGTCATCATTTCCTCAGGTTCTCAGTGAGTTTGGGATGCTGACTTTCTGATGTAAGCTGTCAAGAGAATTTAGTTCTTCTTTGTGAAGCACCTTGAACATGTAAGCATGACAGCAAAGAAGCCCTACACACCACTCTTATTTATCCCCTGATTGTAATACACACGTTTCACAGGGTGAAGCAAAACATTTTACTATTGCTAGTAAGTGACATCTTACAGACATGTCAAGCTTTGTGTTGTTCCACCTTTGATCTCATTCTCACTATGCTTGCTTTGTACTTTAGCTGTGAATATTTAGGAAAAAAAAAATCAAAACCCTTGTGCGATCTCTTGGTCAACTCTAAGCCATTTCCTGTCAACTCTGTTCCTGTGTGTTGTGCCTCTGTGAGCCTTGCTAACAAAAACCAGCCCAATTACCATGTCACTCTCCTAGTTCTGTCTGAACAGATCACAATTTACAGAGCACTCCACAGGCTGAAAGAGCCCATTGTTCACTGCTGAGTTAATACTAGAAACAAGGATCAGTGATGTACTTGGTTTCTGTTCTGAGGGAGAGGGGCAGAGCTGACATTGCCCCTGGAGGAGCCTTCCTGTACATAGGGACAATTTGGAAGGGGACAGTCACCTCAGTGTGCCATGTGTGAGCATGGGGTATCCCAAAGGCCTCCCTGGGGCACCTGGAGAGGCAGGCCTGCCAGCAGGGACACGCTGTCCCTGATCTCTGATAGCCACAAACCCCGAACAGCAACAGGCAGGAGTGCTCAGGAAACAGACTGGAGCCCTCAGTGACTTGTCAGCCAAGTGATGCTTCAGCCTTCATCACTGCTCTGATCAGGTCTCTGCTGACTGCACCTGGGCTCTGAGGTTCTGCAAACAGGTGCAGTGTTTGGGAGCTGGGGGCATTTCAGCTCATTCTGAACACAGAGCAGGTCTTCCTTGTGACAAGTCTTTGGGTGAGAGGGAAAGTCAGTGGCTCCATTCGTGATTGACAGGGAGAAAATTAAGGGTTCAGGCTTATTAAGCAGTCTCTAACAGTGATTTATGGGGTCCTGTACATTTTAATCTAACAAAAAAATTTAAATCATCTAATTAGCTAAGTGTGTAATCCTGTATATTAATTGTCTATTAGCCACTTCTTAATTAAAATGGAATGCTTATCAAATAACATGTGATGGCCACGTAGCATCAATTTAAGTCATTATCAGACCAGCTTCTATTTTAATAAGGATCTGTTCATCTGGAGTCTAATCATTTCATTTTATCTTAAAAGCTCTACTGAAGAGGAAGCAATCACCTTAAAAAAATAATATTCCATTAGGACTTTCTAGACCCTTTACTATAAACAACACTACATGAAGAATCACAAAACCCATGTAAAATATCCAAGGAACTATCAAGGAACCTGGAAACCCAGATCATATGTTTAAATTTGTCCAGGAGTTCCTTGCTCATGCACACAAACCTTTCAGCATTTTTGCTTGACTTCCTCTTTGTTGGGATGCATCACTCTTGAGCTTGGAGGAGGTTATCCTTAATTATTAACCAGCTTTTCTGGGCCCATCATCCTACCTGGAAATTCTACCAAGCAGATTCCTGAAGAGATCAAAGTCTGCCTTCTCAAAGTCCGGATGAGTTTTTTTGCTCTCCTCAATCCTAAGTATTCTAACTCCATAATTTTGTGGTCACTGCAGCCAAGGCCGCCCTTGAGTTTCACATCCCTCATCAGATACTCTTGTTGGTGAAAACAAGGTCCAACATTAGCACCCCTTCTCATTGGTTCCTCCATCACATTATCAGGGCATTCCAGGAATGTCCTGGGTGGTTTATGCCCTGTTGTGCTGTTTCCCCACAAGATATGAGGGTGGTTGAAGTTCCCTATAAGAACCAAGACTAGTGAACCTGAGATCACTCCTATGTGACTACAGAGGAACTAATCCATTCTGCTATGGGTCAGGCAGCCCACAGCAGACCCCTACTATGATGTCACTTGTCCCTGCTCTCCCTTTAATCCAGACTCATAAGCTCCAAGCTGGCACCTGATGCATCCCCAGGCGAAGCTCCATGCAGCAGGAGCTGGTCATTGACATGGAGGGTGACACTCCCTCCTCGTCTCCACACCCTGTCCTTCCTAAAGAGCCTGTGTCCCTTCATTCCAACTCTTCAGTCACAGAGCTCACCCATCACAGCCCTGCAGGAGTGCACAGTTCCCTAATTCCTCTGGTTTATTCCCCATTCTGCTTGCATTCAATAGAGACATTTAAGCTGCCCCCCCCCCCCCCCCCCATTAAGCTGATTTACTGTCTGGAGTGTCTGGAATCACACTGTGCTGCTCTTCAGGTGCTCTCTTGCTGACTGTGATCCCTCTCCAGGCTCTGAGCATCTCTGGCTGGAACTGGCATCACACTGGCAGGCGTGGGATGGATTGAGGTTTCCCTCCCCTGGCAGCATTACTTTAAAGCCATCTTCACCAGCCAGGCAAGCCTGGGGGCAAAGACACTCTTCCCCTTCTCTGGCAGATCAACCACATCAGCTCCCAGGAGATCAGGTTTCTCAAAGAGACTCCCATGATCTAAGTAGCTGAACCT